ATTTAAGTTTTTATAAAAAATAAAAGGCCCCCCCCCCCCCCCCCCCCCCAAAAAAAAAAAACTATGTCGTTTGTGTCAAATTAAACCCTTAAACTGATTTTTATATTAATTTAACCCCTCAACTATGCAATTTGAGTGAATGTGGCCCTACCATCCAAATTCGCTATTAATTTTAATTAGGGATGTTCGTTCTACCCTACGGGTAAGAATTATGGTATTTCATTTTCTACCCGATACTTTGTGAAAGAATTTTTTTTTTGGCATACCCTATCTGATCAAGTATATTATTCTTACCCAAATTTAGTCAAAAACAATCGGGTAAAAAATCTGGTAAACACATATTTTTTAGTTATTAATTTTTAGATCATTTTAATAATTTAATTAAGTAGCATGCATCAATTAACTAACGTAATAAACTAATAATACTAATGCTCTATTTGGTAAGGAGGATGAAAAGTAGGAGAAATACACTTTCTATCCTTCAATGATGAAAAGTAGGAAGGATACATTTTCCTTCATTTATGTTTGGTTGCATGGATGGATAGATAGAAAAAAAAAATGACTATTTTTTTTTGTAGCTGACTAAGATTAGGGGTGACAATCGAGTCGTGTCGTGTCAGATTTGTGTTGAGTCATTACGGGTTTATGTCAAATATTAGTCAAACCTAACTTAATTCATTTAATTAATTGTGTCGTGTCGAATTATGAGTTGACCTGTTTATTTTCGTATCGAGTTCGAGTCGTGTCATCATGTTGAATTGAAAATTTCACCCTTAGTTAAAATGGAAAAAATAATTTTTTTTAAAATACATCTCAATACAAATAATTAACTTTCCATCTACTTTCCTTCCGATTTTGGAGGAATTGATTTTTGTTATTTAGAATGATAGTTAATCCATCCACTTTTTCATCCTTCTTACTTTCCTTCTTTACCAAAGATAATGTTTTATTTATCCCTCTAACTCGGAGCATAAAGAAAACACATAAATTCGATAATACATAAAAAAATTACAATAAAACATAAAAAAATTATAAAAATTAATATATCATATATAAGAAAGCCATAAATATTAATAAAATATTAGGGTTTCTAAATTTTAATTTTTAGGGATTAATATATATGTGTGTGTGTATGTGGGTAGGATAGGATAGAAATACTAAAATTTTATAAGTATTTTGCATTCTTATTCGATTTTTTTGCAGAAAATACCAAAAGATCTTCTGTTGGCCTACTCAATTCTTTCAGTTATTCGATCAGTAAAGTCGGGTAGAGTAGAGTATTGAAATTAAAAGGTAATCAAAAATTTGAACACCCCTAATTTTAATAGACCGTCTCCTTTGTATAGTTTTAACTAGCTTAATTCTTAATTACGTGATATATATGTGAGACTTTTAATTAAAATTAACAATGAATTTAGATGAAAGGGCTACACTAAATTAAATTGCACAGCTGAAGAGTTAAATTGACACAAAAATTAATTCAGTAACTCAATTGATACAAATAATAAAATTTAGAGGTCGTCTGTGTAGTTAACTCATTCAGGGCTAGGACCCAACACAATAGTCGTGGTATGCTGATCACGTGATCGGGAGCTTTTAATCACGTGCGATCAAAACTATATGTCTTTATTGAAAAATTACACTAGCATCCCCGAGAGGCAGAATTATAGAGGATACCGTTATAATGTCTAATTGCTTTATTTGGTATATATTTCCCCATGATTATTTCAGAATGTAGGATTTTTTTTTTTATTTAATAATCAATAGTGTTCGAACTAACTTACGAGTAATGATATTAATTGAGTCAAGGTTTACAAGCTTAAACTTGACCCCAAGCCTCTCTCGATCTCATTTTTTAAAATAAACGTAAAAAAATTATTCAAATTTGACTTATTTAAAAAATAAGTCAAACTCGAACCCGAATAATTCAACTATTTTACATATAAACGAATCAAACTTTTACGAGCTCAAACCGAACCCTATCTCAATAGCTCATCTCTATTGACACTCTTCCTTCCTTAGGCACACCTAGATACAAATCCCCATAATACCAGGAGAATTCATGAAATTATAACCACTGAGCCCCCCCGCGAGTGCACTTCAATATTTCTCTGAATAAAACTGACATTTTTAGAATGACAAAGATGAGCTAATGCTATGTTTTCACAATTGGAAAAAGAAAGAGGTGGAGAAGCAAAACATGTGGAGACTACAAAAGAGCAAAGCAGTTAAGAAAACATAAGCATTACTTGAGATATTTTGCTCAACATTTTCAGAAATTCCTTAAAACATTCAAGAACGGAATGATATAAAAAATAACCGATATCAAAAATAGAATTCTGTGAATAAAAATTCATAGGGGCACAGGCCAGCGAGTAGCATTCAAGATATTCAAATTTGTGCAGTTGATCCTAGTAAAACCATAACATTAACATGCAATAAAGCTAAAAATGGCAAGTAAAAAGATTATCAAACATACAACTGACGACTCTACCAAAGAAACAAAATTATTTCCATTTACTTCAATTTCACAACTCTAATAATACATCAATAACCTTAGCAATAAGTTATCAGTAATATTATCTGCAATGGTAGCATAACATCTCAATCTGCACAACAACTGAGCTCAAACTATGACATGATCACCTTCATTGACTCCGGTGCATTATTATAAGAACTCCAAGAGTAGAAGGAAAAGGGGGGAAAAAAATAATAAAAAGCAGTCTAACACATGGAAAAAAACCATTTTCCTCGAGTTCAATAAACAAAGAGCTGACAAAATGCAGATTTTGTCATAACAGCAACAGCAACGACGAGAGAGCAGCAAATTGACCACTTCTTCATTGCTTCCACCACAACAATCCCTGGAAAATATTGATGTTATGTAGGGCAGGACGTAATCATGATTGCAAGCAAAAATGAGGTCATAATGTGGCAATGACTATTTTAAGAAACAGAGTTTTTCCCCTTTTGTTTTGTCACTATTTGGTTAGCAATTTAGGTAGACTTTTAAAGTTTTTGTCTCACCATTCAGAAAATGTAGGATGGCATTGAGAAAGCAACACAATCCTCATATACTGTTCCCCCCATAGCAAAAAAAATTGCAGGTACAATGGCATCCCCCCCCCCCCCCC